ACCTTCCTAATCTTTAAGGTTCATTCATTGAAAGCGGAAACCACCAGCAAGACCCCAGCAGAGAACAAGTGACAACAGATTGGTTCAGATGAAGTCAGAAACATCATAAAAGGAGGAGCTGTGGGTCAGGTGGGTTTCAAAGTATTTTGTAGATGTGCAGCTACTGGGGGGAGCATAAAGGCACCTAAATGGCACTTCTTGGATGAGATTTGACAATGTGATGTTTAGAAGGATATCAGCTGATTCAAGCTGGCATTGAGGTCAGCTGATTTGATGGGATTGTATTGACCTTCGAAGGCTGCGATGACTGGAAGTGAGGACCTGGTAAATTGGATGGTGTAGTCTATAGCGCTGCTTCTGTAGCTTAGCAACCATGATAGTAGCCGTGTAGGACAGCATGTATGAAGAAAATATTTATTTAATTTTATTCGCTTTACTTTTTCCTGGTAAAAATTGAGATGTTATCAGTCTGGGATGTATGAGAGGCTGAAAAAATACTGTGGCCATGGGCTGCGTACCTTTAGCAAACAGTAATGTTCACTTAAGCTAGTCAACAAGTTTGCTGATGTGTCTTTTGAATTTAAGAGATTTTCATATACTGGTTTTGTTTTCTGTGTACTGGATTTTTTTTGGATTTTTCATATACTGGATTTGTTCTCTGTATCCGTTAGTCTTACGTTTTGTATTTTCTAGAGCTTCTTTGTCCTAGTTTCTGGTTCTTGTTTTGTTACGTTTGTTCCCTCCCATGCCTGTCTTTTCTCTCTGTGTCCCGTCTTCATAGTCCTGTCCCTGTGCTTTCTCCCTTCATGTTCCTATGTTCATCTCCTATCTATCTCCCTTGTCTTCCTCGTCTGTCATGTCTCTATGTCTGTTTCTCCCCAGTACAAGTGTCAAGCGTTTTATTTTGATAGGCTCCTGTGTTATGTGTATTATGTTTGATTTTGCTTCCCCTGTCTCCTCAGTCAGACTGTGTTCAGCTGTGTCACCGAAGTGTTTCTAAGCAACCCTAATCTCCTGTGTATATCTTATCTGTGTCTCCCTGTGTTCTCTTTAATGTCGTCATTGTTTCCTCTCTAGCAATGTTTTCTTTTCAAGGCTTCGAAACAATCTAACATCCATCTCCACAGTGACATCTTCTGGCCAATTTGGCTATCACTACATCTTGATAATGCTCTTCTGTGAAACAATGATCCAGAAGAGCCATGCACAGTTCCAAACAAAGCTAGTTATTATACCGGACTGTCAGTAATTGTAATCAGCAGATGTTTTGAAGAAATCCTCTCACAAACAAGGAAAGAAAAATAATGAGACTGTAAAAGACAGTAGTGATCAGTGAGTGTGCTTCAACAAAATTTTACATCTGGTAATATTTGTGTTGGTCACAATCAATCAATTTCTAAAGTAAAATATACAAAGAAAAGACTGCAGGGTTTACTATAATAACCACACTGATTTACAGCTGGGTTTTTTTTTTGGCTCTGTTTTTGCTCACAGCCTTGAAACTCTGGATGTGTTTGGATGGCTTTTAAGTTTTTTGGGCATTCATGTCATCAAAATACTAAAAGCTGGCATAGTATTAGGTTTGATTTTAAATTGACTGAAAAACATATATTTAAATAGATTCTTATATAACACTTTTCTACTCCCCCAGAGCACTCAAAGCGCTTTATACAGCATGCCACATGTGGCTATTCACGCAAGCACTTTGTTCTATGCTTTTCACTGCTTCCTAGTTAACATTCACACTCTGATGGCTGCATCAGAGAGCAACTTGGGGTTAGTATCTTGCCCAAGGATACTTGGCATGCAGACTAGGGGAGCCAGGAATTGAACCACTAACCTTCCAATCAGTAGATGACCTGACGTGCACATCTTTAAATCATCCTCTGCTGAGTAGCCTCTGAACTATGGCGAAACTTTCCTGAATTTTTATCTTGTAACACTGGCATGGTGTTTTACTGTGGTGATTTGGTCATAGTGAACCTGCATAACTGCCTGTTGTTGTTTAGATATTCACAAGAGTGTCAGTGGGAATAAAAATAGGAAAGGAAAAAATATATCTGTCATTAAAATTGTTAAGAAATAGATTGCCTGTAATTAATGAATGTGTTTTCATGGTATTAATGTATTCTTTATGGCAACCCAGTATGCGAGTAATGGATTGAATTGAGGATTAAGTCACGTAATGCTGCAAATTACATTCTCTGTTGAAAGTTAAAAAAAAGTTTTAAAAAAAAACAGACGATGTCAGCACTGAAAACTCCTGCTTGTTTTATTTTCTCCTTGAAAGCAGAGGTGGTGTTTTATTGAGATATTTAAATGATTTTACAACACAGTGACCTGCTCTCTCTCTGCTGATAGGAGTGATTGGAGCTCACCCACCAGTCTCTGTTTCTTGCTTTTTCTCCATTAATAATTCAAATAAGATATTTATATATTATTTATATATCTATATTATGTTTATTTGATTATACTTTGGATTCCAGTGTTTAAGTGATTGCATAGTGTAGTCCAGGGGTTCTTAACCTTTTTTACCTCTGGGCCCAACTTTTCCGCTACAAAAAAACCCAGGGCCCATTCAGATATTAACAATGTATCGAAAAGATTAAAGTTTCTTTTTGTTTGATTTATATTTAATAACTAAATCAAATCTGAACCTGCAGATACAACAAAATGCCAAAAAGGTTAACTATTCATGGAAGAAATCAAACTGCAAGTAGAAATTGAAAGGCTCAAGTCAGGCTTAATAACACAAAAATAATTAATAATTCAATTTTACTACAGCAAAAGAGACAAGAAAATAGGGAAAAATCTAAATTGGATAAATAATGTGGTGATAAAATAAATATATTCAAAAATAATTTTCTAAATAATAAATGAATAAGCTTATAAAATTTAAATAAATTGCAAATAAAAATATAGAGTGAATATGAAAGTTGCTTCAGCAGTAAACCTTTTTTCATTGGCAGAACCAGAAGTTAGTCTTTATATTTGAGACAAATGAACAACAACAGTCACAACATTGTTTTGGTAAGCTGCAACTCCCCTTTTATGTTCACCTCTTAATGAGACACTTGACCCTGCCTCTGAGACACAAATCCAGGTCCAGTCTGAGTGGAATGGGGGAAAGGCTCATTCTCAGAGTCGGGCTATGGTCTTGGCTGAGGCCACGATGGAAAATCCTGATTCACACAGATATGTCGTTGTGAATGGGAGAAAGAGTTTCAGAGCTCTCAGTGCCAGACATGGGTACTCCTTTGAGACAGCAATTCA